TAAGTATATATATAAATATATAAAAATAACTGAAATATATTGAAAGAGTGAAAAGTACTTACTAACTAAAAATGAGATGATTTGACCTTCACACTGATCTGTACTGCAGTACCATTAACTGATGATGACGAGAGAACTCTCAGACTCTGTGATTCCCCGACACAATCCCCACAGCATTTTCTTCTTGGCTAGTCTATGAGGTAGGGGTGACACAGAGCTGCAGGTGACAGAAAACCTAACTAGGGCAACTCAGCTGAGTGGGAGATTACTTTTCTTATATGAATCCAGAGGAAGGCAGTCTACAATCCTGTCAGAGACCCGGGCTGTCTACCATTTGCTTCTCCATCCTTAGGAGTGTTTCATTTTCGTGCTCATTGGGCATTTGTTTCAGCACCCCGTTTGCCTGGCGGAAAGAAGAGGGAAGCTTGGATGTCATATTGGCCACTCTGGGGTCACGTGGCCACCTCTAGTTGCAAAGGAGTCTGGGAGTCAAGCAGCCTTACTGGGCCTGTCACTGTCTTGCTAGAATTGGAGTTCTGATGGCAAGGGACAAGGGAGAATGGACCTTGGGGAGGCAGCAGGAGGGTCTGCACCTGGTGCTTTTGCCTGTCACTCAACAGACATTCACAGAGATTGTAAACTGATTCCTTTGGCTTAGGAGAAGTAGGTCAGGAAAAATAAAACTGTCCCAGTCAAGTTACGTTTCCCTGCCTCTTTTTCCTTTTGCTAGCTAAATTGAAAGTTACTGTCCTGGATTATGATTCTTTTTTGTTGCCAGAAAGACATTAAAACTGCCTTTTATATTAAAACTGTATGAGGCATCATTCCCTGCCAAGACTAAAATATTCGCCTCCCACTCTGGAGCACACGTCTAGCTAAAAGGCCCTCCAGTGCTGCTGCATGGGGAAGGGCTAAAGAACAGCGGCACTTTTTCATCTAGTGAGAAGGGCACGAGCCCTTTTCTACTTTCATGCTGGTTAAGTGATGTTTTGTGAGGGAGAGATGACCTGGTTGTCCAGGTTTGCCTGTGTTTCTGGAACTTTCTACTCCTGGATAGATGGAGCAGG